ATTAATACTTTCACAGAGATGATCAAAGGGATGAAGCGATTGAGGACAGGATCTTTTCAAGGAGGGAGGGTCTGAGGAAAAACCATCAAGAATCACATGACCCTTACTAGAGCAATGCTAGGAAGATTCAGAAGAAGAAGGATCATCTAACATTTTACTTCTGTGGAAGGTTACTTATAAAAATCCTTCTTCTCCTTAACTAAAGCACTTATATTTTGTTTTGTAGGAATTAATAAATTTGGAGAATATGATTGAGCCATCCGGAGAAGAACCAAGCAAAGGAGCCAAAAAAGCAAAAGAGGTGCTTAACGGGCATTGCTGCACCAGCATTGTCCACGTGAAATGTGGGTGAATTTGGAAGGACGCACAACACCTTGTGGATTTGAGTGGAATGAAAAGCATGGATGTTTCTTGATCAAAAATCTGATAATTTGAATTTTAGGGGGAATTACAAAACAGAATTAGGCTCCTCTTCACCTATAAATAAGAGGGCCTTTCTTTGTATTGGGTTACTTTTGAGCTTAGTTAAATTGCCTGCTGAAATCATTGCCAAGCCCTATTGCCTCTTGAGTCACTAATTCTCTCTCCTTTCTCTTCCATTCCTCTTAGCTTCCTTCCATTTGTAGGAAGGCCTTCCTTTGAGCTGTGAGGTTCCCACACATTACTTATTCCATTCAAATTAAACCAAAAATCTAACCCAATTGCTACTGCATCCACTCTGCTGGATTCATCCACTGCACCAATCTGTTTTTCATCCGCTTGATCTGTTTTGTCTGCAAGGCCAGGTCATTCAAGCATGGATAAGCTTCCATCAATATCAATCAATGAAATGCAGGAGGAAGTTTAAGCAAATGTAAAGAAGATGAATGTATAAATATTTCATGGAATGAAGCCTAAATCGGGATGATGAAAAAAGAGGGGAAAGAAATAGATAGATTGGAGTATGGATCCGTGAGAGGAAGTGCGATAGTGTTTAGCGTGAGGTAAGACCTTGCACTATTCTACGATGTTGAGGAGGTCCTACTCTCTGAAGCCAATGAGGAATTGGGCCAAGCCTTCAACAAATAGCGTTGCTTGATACGTAGTGGTCACGCTCATTATGTCCACAAGAACGCTCTACCTCACGCGGTTCGCGTAAAGAACCAGACTCACCACCTCTTCCATATGTGCCTTAACGTCCGCGCCCACAGCCTCCTTGGCAGCTATTAACTCATTGGCAAGTGTACCAAATCGTATCAAATAATATAAAATGATAAGACCAAGTATCGTATCCCAGAAGAGTCACGACACTAAGGGCTTGTTCTTTTGAGTGGATTTGAGGGAGTGAATTTGAGAGGATTTGAAGATAAATTTTTTTGTCGTTTATTTGAGTGAATTTGGAGGTAAATGAGAGTGAATTTGGAAATAAATTTTTTTAATTTGTCACGTCAATACAATTCTATACCAATTCTCACAAATTTTATTTTCAAATTCACTCTCATTTACTTCTAAATTTACTCAAATAAACGACAAAAAAATTTATCTTCAAATCCTCTCAAATCCCCTCCCTCAAATCCACTTAAAAGAACAAGGCCTAAACAATCGTGTAATTACTAATTAAGACTGAGAAGCTATTTTGTTGGTTTTTAAATGCAAATGCAACAAAAGTAAATATGAATTCAAATTAATCAATTGAGGCTAAAACACAAATGAATGGATGATGTTGATGATATTATGTTGTTGGGGTTTAGATTTCACCTTCCTTACTTTTATGCATATAAGAATTCATCTTCTTCATTAAAATGTTAATGTCACTTTCTAAATTACTTAGAACCCGATCCCTCGGTGTAAAAAGCCTATTCTTAATTATTAGACCATAATCCCTTGCATCCCTAATAATCAATTTTGCACTATGAACAAAAGCTTAAGATAACCAAATGTTTTATCCCTATGCGTAGGCAATAGTCCTTCAGGTGAAATTGTTCAGATGATGATTCGTAAGTTATTTCCCAATACTCAGTCAAATCTAACATCAAACTATGAATGGCCAAAACATAATTAGCATTACGAATAGAAGAAAATCACTAACATTCAATGAAAGAAGCATAAGATATTTAAAACATATTCAAATACATGAAAGTTTAGAGGTTTCATCTTCCCTAACAACAAATGAGTTTAGTTCTCCATGGTCATGGAGAACCTTGGCTTACAATGGAAGAATGAGATAAAAACCCTAGAAAGAGAAGAGGAGAGCTCCCGCATCCCCAATCTGCCTCCAAAGGGGCGAAAAGTATGTTTCTATGTTTCAGCCATCAAAAGATACCAACCTTAGGGCGTGCAAGTCCTTAAATAGATCAAAAATTGGCCCATAAGCCCAAGGCGCTGGTGCTCAACGCCCCAACTAAGGGCAAGCAGGCGAAACTGCGAGAGGAGTGGCGTTCAGTGCCCCTCAGAGGGCAAGCAAGCGCTCAATGATGTAGTTGGCTGGCGCTCAGTGTAAGACCCGTGTGAAATGCAAATACCTTTTTAAGTTATTATTATATTTTATAGTATTACATGGTGTTTTTTGGTGTGTTGTTGAATGAGGAAAGTGTGTTGGAAGTGATTAAGAANATTTACTCAAATAAACGACAAAAAAATTTATCTTCAAATCCTCTCAAATCCCCTCCCTCAAATCCACTTAAAAGAACAAGGCCTAAACAATCGTGTAATTACTAATTAAGACTGAGAAGCTATTTTGTTGGTTTTTAAATGCAAATGCAACAAAAGTAAATATGAATTCAAATTAATCAATTGAGGCTAAAACACAAATGAATGGATGATGTTGATGATATTATGTTGTTGGGGTTTAGATTTCACCTTCCTTACTTTTATGCATATAAGAATTCATCTTCTTCATTAAAATGTTAATGTCACTTTCTAAATTACTTAGAACCCGATCCCTCGGTGTAAAAAGCCTATTCTTAATTATTAGACCATAATCCCTTGCATCCCTAATAATCAATTTTGCACTATGAACAAAAGCTTAAGATAACCAAATGTTTTATCCCTATGCGTAGGCAATAGTCCTTCAGGTGAAATTGTTCAGATGATGATTCGTAAGTTATTTCCCAATACTCAGTCAAATCTAACATCAAACTATGAATGGCCAAAACATAATTAGCATTACGAATAGAAGAAAATCACTAACATTCAATGAAAGAAGCATAAGATATTTAAAACATATTCAAATACATGAAAGTTTAGAGGTTTCATCTTCCCTAACAACAAATGAGTTTAGTTCTCCATGGTCATGGAGAACCTTGGCTTACAATGGAAGAATGAGATAAAAACCCTAGAAAGAGAAGAGGAGAGCTCCCGCATCCCCAATCTGCCTCCAAAGGGGCGAAAAGTATGTTTCTATGTTTCAGCCATCAAAAGATACCAACCTTAGGGCGTGCAAGTCCTTAAATAGATCAAAAATTGGCCCATAAGCCCAAGGCGCTGGTGCTCAACGCCCCAACTAAGGGCAAGCAGGCGAAACTGCGAGAGGAGTGGCGTTCAGTGCCCCTCAGAGGGCAAGCAAGCGCTCAATGATGTAGTTGGCTGGCGCTCAGTGTAAGACCCGTGTGAAATGCAAATACCTTTTTAAGTTATTATTATATTTTATAGTATTACATGGTGTTTTTTGGTGTGTTGTTGAATGAGGAAAGTGTGTTGGAAGTGATTAAGAAATTCAGTTATTTAGTTTTATTTAAATTCTCAAAATTTCTTAAAGTATGGTTTAAATGTTGATGTTTGTCTCATGTTATCAATTAAATGGCCTTAGTCTAGTGGTGTTGGTGGTTACTTGAAAGGGTAGGAATCCGGCTTGGTTAGCAAATACTTTATAGCTGCATGATCTGTGTAGATGATCACTTTAGACCCAATGTGATAAGGTCTAAACTTCTCTAAAGCATACAGAATAGTAAGAAATTCTTTTTGTGGTGGCATAATTCAATTGAGCTTCAGTCAAAAACTTTGCTAGCATAATAGATAGTATGAAATACCTTCTCTTTTCTCTGACCCAGCACAACACCTATTGCATAATCACTGGCATCACACATCAATTCAAAATTTCTATCCCAATCTGGAGCTACAATCACTGGGGCTGAGACCAATTTACTTTTCAAGATGTCAAAAGCTTTTAAACATTCTTCATTCATCACTAAATGTACATCTTTAACCAGCAAATTACTTAATGGTTTGGCAATCTTTGAGAAGTCTTTAATAAATCTTCTATGAAACCCAACATGGCCTAAAAAACTTCTAATTCGCTTCACATTTGTTGGTGGTGGAAGTTTCTCAATGACCTCTACTTTGGCTTCATCCACTTCAATCCCCCTAGCAGAAATCTTGTGCCCTAACACAATTCCTTCTGTTACCATGAAATGACATTTCTCCCAGTTAAGCACAAGATTCGTTTGAACACATCTCTTGAGGACAACATCCAGATTCGCCAAACACCTTTGGAAAGAATCTCCAAACACCGAAAAATCATCCATGAAGACTTCAATACACTTATCTATGAGATCCGCAAAAATTGCCTGCATATACCTTTGAAACGTAGCTGGAGCATTACATAACCCAAATGGCATCTTTCTGTAAGAAAATACACCAAATGGACACGTAAATGTTGTCTTCTCCTGGTCTTTTGGATCTACCACAATTTGATTGTATCCAGAATATCCATCTAGGAAGCAATAAAAAGCCTGACCTACCAATCTTTCCAGCATCTGATCCATAAAAGGAAGGGGAAAATGATCCTTCCTAATGACCTTATTTAACTTCCTGTAATCAATGCACATTCGCCATCCAGTAACAGTCCGAGTAGGAATAAGCTCATTCTTCTCATTATAGATTATTGTCATCCCACCTTTCTTTGGCACTACCTGTACTGGACTCATCCATTCACTGTCAGAGATCGGATATATAATGCCAGCTTCCAGAAGCTTCAATACTTATTTTCTAATCACATTCTTCATCACTGGATTTAACCTTCTCTATGGTTGAGCACCTGGTCTATAGTCATCCTCCATAAATATTTTATGCATGTAGTAAGTTGGACTTATACCCTTGAGATCTGAGATTGACCACCCAATAGCTTCTTTGTTGGCTTTCAATATTTCCACCAACTTTTCTTCTTCTTCAGGAAGTAAAGAATTACTAATGATGACTGGCTTAGTTCCATCTTCTCCTAAGAAAACATACTTCAAATGTGGTGGTAACATCTTTAACTCCAACTTCTTTTCTTTGACTTCTTTTTTGGTATCAATCATCTCAAAATTAGCCTCCCCCACTGGAATCTCCTTCAATGTCTCCAAATCTGTCATACATTCATCAATTAATTTTTCTTCCTCTTCATTCAAGTCTTCACAAGCATCAATAAGAGTTTTCTCTAATGTAGAAGAATAACTTATCATCCTTTCTTGTACTATACAAACTTCATCAAGTATATCAAATTGGAAACATGCTTTATCATCTTTAGGATGTGTCATGGCTTTGAATACATCAAAATTCACTTCTTCAACTTGAACTCTTACTTTAAGCTTGCCATTCTCCACATCAATTAAAACTTTAGCAGTCTTCATAAATGGTCGCCCAAGGATGAGAGGCACATCTCCATTCTCTTCCATCTCCATTATGACAAAATCCACTGGAAATACAAATTTGTTTACCTTCACCAATACATCTTCAACCACCCCGTATGGGTATTTAAGAGACCTGTCCGCCAATTGGAGTGTCGTTCTAGTAGGTTTGAGTTCCAAACCTTCAATTCTTTTGAACATAGCAAGCGGCATTAAATTAATGCTAGCTCCCAAATCAATCAATGCTCTTCCAACTTCCAATTCTCCAATGGTACATGGAATAGTGAAGCTTCCTGGATCTTTAAACTTAGGAGGTAATTTTTGTATGATTGCACTACAGTTACCTTGCACTTCAATGGTCTCCTTCTCATTATATTTTCTTTTCTTTGTAAGGAGCTCCTTCAAAAAATTTTCATATGACGGCATCTGTTGCAATGCTTCAGAGAAAGGTATAGTAATCTCCAATTTTTTAAATATCTTCATGCTCAAGCTGTTTTTCTTTCTCCTTCCTTGAATAGATCTTTGGATAAGGAAGTGGTTTTTCAACATCTTTTTCTTTTTTTTTTCTCATCTACCTCTTCTTCCTTTTTTTCTTTCTCAATCCTCTCTTTCCACTCAAGTGTTTCTTTCTCACTCTCATTTTCTTTCTCTTTTATCTCTATTTTTCTCTCATCTAACACTCTGTCACTTCTAGTAACAATGGTCTTACACTCTTCCCTAAGATTACTTTTTGCATTCCTCTCAAAAATCTCCATCTTATTGACCAATTGCCCAATATGCATTTTCATACTTTTAAATGCAACCTCCACATTCTTACAATAAGAGACGCTCATCGTCATGAATTGCTGGAAAGTTTCCTCAAGCTTTATGGTTTTCTTAGATGGAGTAGGTTGTTGTTGCCATCTTTTGTGTTGCCACTGAACCAGTGAAGCATTCTGTATCTCATGTGGCAATAGAGAGTTTCTTCGTCACTTCTTCCAACTGTTGAGTGATAATTTTATTTTGTGCAAGCAAGGAATCTTGAGATTGCAATTGTAAGACTCCCTTCTGTTGAGGTGGACCTCCTCTTTCACTATGCATCTCGTTGTAGTAGCCATGTTGTCTATCAATTCAAAAGCTTCCTCTGGAGTCTTGCATTTGATATTACCTTCATCTGATGCTTCTAGCATCAATTTGGTTTGTGAACCAAGACCTCCAAGGAAAAGAATGACTATTGTTGCTTCATCAAAGCCATCAGTGGGCATCTTTCTCAACAAGCTCTTGTATCTATCCCATGCTTGACCTAGCATTTCCTCCATACCTTCCCTGAAAGAGGAAATTTCTTGCTTCCCTTTGTTGATTTTAAACTGTGGGAAGTACTTGCTTAGAAACTTTGAAACCACGACTTCCCATTCAGTAAAGCTATCCTCTGAGAAAGAATTCAACCATAGCTTAGCATTGCCTCCCAATGAGAAAGGAAACAAACTAAGCCTTATAGCGTCATCCGGCACACCATTGATCTTCACAGTGTTGCAAATCTCGTTGAATGTGGTTAGATGTTCATATGGACTTTCATGTGACAATCCATTAAATTGGTTGCTCTTCACCAATTATATCAACGCCGGTTTCACCTCCATGTTTGCAGCATTGAGCCTCGGCCTAGAAATGATGTTAAAGTGATGAGGGCCAACAACAGTGGTGTAATCCGTCTGAGTACGTCTACCATTGTTCTCTCCGGTCATCTCTTCAGTACTCTGGTCAAATCTTTGTGGTGAGGGTTGTAAAAGTGTCTCCGGAGAAGGAAATAATTCTCTAGATGTTCCAATTCTCGTCCCCCTTCTACTCTCGTCCAATCCTTTAAGAAGAGGTTTTGAATTTTTCTTGCTCCTAGTACGAATTGTATCCTGCATACACAAGAAAACAAAACCCTAGAAACAATTGTTAGCACAAAAAGATAAAAAAGATAAAAGATAAAAAAATAAAATAAAAATATAAAAATATAAAAATCAAGTAAAAACTAATCAATAATCACACAAATAGAATAGTTAAACCACGAGTCCCCGACAACGGCGACAAAAAAACTTGTTAACACTTCGGCAAGTGTACTAAATCGTATCAAGTAATAATAAATGGTAAGACCAAGTATCATTTCCCAAGAGACTCAAGGCCTAAACAGTTATGTGATTTTGTTGATTAAATAAGACTTGTAAACGAAATCATTGTGTTTATATTACGGAAAAGTAAACATGAATGCAAGTGTTGATCAACTGGATTGAAAGATGCAAAAGTGATTGATGTAAAATATGGAATGATTATGTTGTTGGGGTTTCCGACTTATCCTATCCACTCTCATGTATTTATGAATTAATCTTTTTTCATTAATGTTAATGCCACTTTCTAATTTACCTTAAACCTGATGTCTCGGTGAAGAAAGCCTAATCCTAATTACTAGTTCACAATGTCTTGTCTCCATAGAAATTAATCATGCATTACATTCGCACAGAAGCTTAAAGGCAACCCATCCTCTTATTCTTATGTCTAAGTAATATTGCTTCCGGGAGAATTTCCCCAGTTCTAGATTTTCTCATATGTGTCCATAATGACAAAATCAATAATCATGCAATTGAGTGAGTTAAACAAAACATGCATAGAGTATAGAGGAAAAACCCTAACAATTAATGAAGTAAAGCATATATAATAAACAATAAATTCAATACATGAGAGTTTCAAAGGATTACATCATTTCCCCAACAACAATGGAGGTTTAGTTCACCATAGACATGGTGAAACTAGATGAAAATAATGAAAAGAATGAAAGATAGAACCCTAAAAGTTCAATATCGGAGCTTCCGCATCCAAAATCCGCCTCTGAGGGGTGAAAGAAGTGTAATTCCGCCTCTTTCTGTCCAAAGATATCAACCCTAGGTCGACTAAACCCTAATATAGTTTATTAAAAATACAGAACATTGACCCAAGCCCAAGTAAACAGCGCTCAACAGTAGAATTGCGCTCAGCGGTAAGTGCGGTACTCAGGATAACAGTTGAAAAACTGTTATTTTTATACTTAATTTTGACATAAAAAACAACCTTTATGACTTAGAAACTAGTTTGGAATCATGCTTTTGCTTATGTTTTGGAAATAAGAGAGTTGGATGGGTTTTATGCTTGGTTTTCCTTGTTTTGCAGGAAATGAGATGAATTAGAGGAAATAAGTTGAAGTATAAGGAGCTGGACTCAAGAAAGGAAGTGAAAGTGCTTAAAAGAAGAGCCGCAGTCACCGCTAAGGGCCAAAACTACAGCTGAGCGTCAATTCTAAAGACCCGCACTTACCGGTGGCGGTAAAAGTGCCGCTGAGCGCCATTAATATGGGCTTGGGCCTATTTTTTGTAATCCTTAGGAAACTGTATAAGGTTTTAGTCGAATTAGGGTTAGTATCTTTGGACAGAAAGAGGCGAAATCACACTTAACCCCTTGGAGGAGGATTTTGTATGCTCAAGCTCTATTCTTCAACTTCTAGGGTCCTATCTTTCATTCTTTCATTGTTTTACATCTAGTTTCACCATGTCTATGGTGAACTAAACCTTTATTGTTGTTGGGGAACCGAAGTAATCCTTTGAAACTCTCATGTATTGAATTGGTTCTATATTCTATATGTTTTCTTTCATTAATTGTTAGGGTTTTTCTTCTATACTCTATGCATGCTTTGTTTAACTCATTCAATTGCATGATCATTGATGTTATTTGTATGGACACATATAAGTAAATCTAGAACTTAAGAAATTCTCCCAAGAGCAATATTACCTAGACATAGGGATAGGAGGATTGGTTGCCTTTAAGCTTCTGTGCGAATGTAGTGCATGAATAATTGCTAGGGAGACAAAACATTGTAAACTAGTGATTAGGAGTAGGCTTTCTACACTAAGACATCGGGTTTAAGGTAAATTAGAAAGTGACATTAACATTAATGAAGAAAGATGAATTCTTGAATACATGAGAGTGGATAGGATGAATTGGAAACCCCAACAACATAATCGTTCATATTTTACATCAATCGTTTTTGCATCTTTCTATTCCATTGATCAAAACTTTGCATTCATGTTTATTTTCCGTAATTCAACAACAATGTTTTCGTTTACAAGTCTAATTTAATCAACAAATCACATACCTGTTTAGGTTGTGAGTCTTTTGGGAAACGATACTTGGTCTTACCTTTTTATTATTACTTGATACGATTCAGTACACTTGCCGAGTGTTAACAATGACGCCCATGCGTGAAACAGTGCACCTAACAGCAGACTCTAGCGCTTGATAACGGTTGAAAAACCGTTATTTTTATGCTTAAAATTGATACCAAAAGCAACCTTTAAGACTTAGAAAATAGCTTGAACTCATATTTTTGCTTTAGTTTTATGAATAAGAGAGTTGAAGGTGAATTTAATGGTTTTGTGCAAGATTCCCTTGATTTTGTAGGCTAATTGAATGATTTGAAAGAAGAATTGAAGTACCGAATGATTGGAATGCTGAAAAGTCAACCAGAAACCAGAAAAGTCAACCAGTCAACCAAAAAAGTCAACCATAATGCAAAAAAAGTTGCGAGCGAGTGGCGCTGAGCGGTAATTTTCCACTGAGCGGCAGTTTTCAGGTGCCGAAATCACCGTTGAAGGGCAAAACAGCAGCTGGAAGGCAAAATGGATCATGTGCTAGTACCGCTCAGCGGTAAAATACCGTTGAGCGCCATTCTAAATAGGCTTGGACCGGTTTTTTGTTACTTTTATGGGCTTGGGCCTAATTTTCTGTATTTTTTAGAATAGTATATAAGCTTTAGGACGTCCTAGGGTTTGTATCTTTGGCTGGAGAAGACGCAAAACACACTTTTCACCCCTTGGGGGTAGAATTGGAGATGGTGACGGCTCTCCTCTTCTCTTTCTAGGGTTTTTCTATCTCTTCCATTCTTTCATTATTGATCATCTAGTTTCACCATGAATATGGTGAACTAAACTTTGTATTGTTGTTGGGGAATCAATGTAATCTTTTGAAGCTCTCATATATGGAATTTTGTGTTTAAACATCATATTTATGATACATGCTTTCTTTCATCATTAGTTAGGGTTTTTCTTCTTTGCTCAAAGCATGCATTGTTTAACTCATTCAATGTCATGATTATTGGTTTTTTCGATATGGACACATACGAGGAAATCTAGAACTGGGGAAATTCTCCCAAAAGCAGTATTGCCTAGACATAGGGATGTGAGGGTTGGTTGCCTTTAAGCTTCTGTGCTTTAGAATCAATTATTAGGGATGCTAGGAATTGTATGAACTCGTAATTAAGGATAGGCTTTCTTCGTCGAGACATCGGGTTTAAGGTAATTTAGAGAGTGGCATTAACATTGATGAAAAGAATGATGAATTCCTAAAATATATGAAAGTGGATAAGATGAAATTGATTA